GGGGGGGGGGGGGGGGGCTGTATTTATGTTTGGCTTGCTTTAGGGGTCAGATTATGGTTAATAGTTTGGGATGGGGGGGGGGGGGGCACTCGCGTAGATGCACGCCGTACAGTAGTCGGTAGACCATTGACCTCGCATCCGTACAATGCCGGGACGGAGCGATGTGCCGGGTTTTCGCCGGGCCAGGCTACGTTTCGCAAGGGTGAGCCAGAAGCTGGTCGTCATGCTTGTGCTTGGGGGTTAGCGAACCGTAGCGGTACTAAACTTGCCTTTTGCCGCCCTTCCGTCCACTATAGGTGGACCAATTCATGAAGGCAGCAAGAGAGGATGAGATCGGGAAGCATGCGGTGGGAGCCATGGAACGCGTCGTGGCGGCGTCAGAGGAGACCCTCAAGACCATCAAGACATCGTCCACAATGTGCGTTAATGATGTCGTTATAGGTGTTGTATTCTATCTGGGCCATGAAGACGTCGTCCACAATGTGCGCTAAAGTCGTACTTCGTAAATATTGTTGTTGCATATTTATGTGGGTCATGGACGGCATACTTGGACACTTTTCGAGGGAAAAAGCCATAGGTGGGCGTGGAAGGTGCACGTAGCGTGCTTTGCCGGGCAGCGCATTCACGAATGAAGTCGGGTTTCGAGTGTGTCCTCGTTCCTTCGGGGTCTTTATCGTAGGGGGCTGCCGTTTCGTAGTGGGTGGGACCGCGGGGTTCCGAGTCATGTACTGCCCAAACCTGAATAATAGTAAATTAAAATAAACCCCCATATATTATATTTAATAAACACCCCCCATATATTACGTTCCGTAATTAAAATAAACACCCCCCCCCATATCACCTACTGCTGTCGATAGGACCAGCTGGCAGCATTCGTACCGAACAGACCTAAGCGACGCAGATACAGCGGCAGTGTGCCGTAGAAGTGCGGGTGAACGCACAGGTGCGGTCAGATTAGTATATTCAATTCCTCCACAAGTGAGAGGCTGCCCTCCGCAACCACAAGGGCGTTCCTCAGCCGGAAAAGGGGTGGCTTTGCACAATTCTCGTCGAGACCTTTAGTTGTCGTTGCACGTGTTGGTCGCGTTTTTCGCACCCCCGTTGGTTGTGGAGCAATCAATTTGTGTTTTGTTACCGATAGATGTCACTCGTGTGGTTTGCCCGCGCTTTTACGGCACGAGCCCACGACAAGTTTGTCCCGAGTGCCAACTTGGATCGATCGAATGATACTTGAGAGCCCGCAGGCCTCAAGCATCCGCGTCCAAGCATCCGCGTCCAACGAGCCATCATTCTCGCAGCAACAAGTCGGCATCGTAGGTTCACGGTAACACGGTAACGTGATAGTGCGAGGTTTACAATCGAGGTTCACGGTGACACGGTAACGTGATAATGCGAGGTTTATAAACTCACGCGCTCAAGAAGTGTGTGCTTATTTCCTGCTCAAGTTCCTCGACGAAATGTTCATCCTTAGTTCCTTCTCTAATCGGCTTCTTGCCTTCTTGTTCTTTTTTGTCAGTGCCAACGAGCTGGACGCCGCGACTCGCACCGCCAAGGGGGGTGACACGGCCGGAGAGATCCGCAGGCTGGAAGACTCGCTCAAGCGGCTCCGCGGCTCGTTCCAAGAGGCCAAGGACCTGGCTGTGGGATCGCAGGAGGCAGCTGCCAAATGCCAGGTCAGGGCCGGGGGGTGTTGCTTCGTGTGCGTGTGCGCTGGTGTACATAGTCATGGTTCTTTTTTGGAGCAGGGAGTAATGCCTCAACAGCAGAGCCTGCCTGGCTGACGACCTTTCTAACCCTAACCCTAACCCTAAGGCATGCAGTACATGAGTTACGCCCCCCCCCCCCCCAAAACATTACCCCAGGGTGAAAAAAACCCGGACTTTATGGAACAAAAGAAACCAAAAGGTTCCCCCCTAACGGCGCAGGCCGGCGCCGTAACGCAGGCCGCGAGGGACATCGAACAGGCGGCCAAGCGGCAGGTGGAGGCCCTCCAAGAGGCCAACGCCCTGCTTCCCACCGCCGTGGCCGCCACGGAAGCGGCCCTGGCTGCTTTCAGGTGAGGGGGGGGGGGCGACGCGGATGGAATATATAGGTGTTGGGTCCGTCTGGGGGTGCGCTTCTGTCCTGTGTCGTGGTGCCTGGTAAGTATTATTTAGTAGGTGCTGTTTTGGCGTTGGGGTTGTTTGGGTTTTTTTCTTGCCTGCGCAGTCACAGACTCGCTCGCGCCCTCGCTTGCTGGCTTGTGGTGATAACCACAATAACGTGTCGTGTTTTATTTGTTTCTTTCCGATGCTCGTGTACTGCAATAGCTCGTTCAAGGCGCTGGTTGCCGAAGCGAGCGACGAGGAGAACGCGGCGCGGGAGAAGGCGGAGGCGGAAGCGGCGGCGGCGGCGGCAGCGGCGGCGGCAGCGGCTAAGGCGGCGGCGGAAGCGGCGGCGGAGGAGAAGCGGAAAGCCGAGGAGGCCGCCCGGGAAAAGGCTGCTAAGGAAGCGGCGGAGGCAGCTGAGCTTCAGGCCAAGCGGGATGCAGAGGCGGCGGCGGCGGCGGCAAAGGCGGCGGCGGCAAAGGCGGCAGAAGATCAAGCAAGGGCTATGGCTGAGATGGAGGCGAGAGTTAAGGCTGAGGTGGAAGCGAAGTATAAGGCCGAGGCGGAAGCGAGAATTAAGGCGGAGGCGGAAGCAAAGGCAAAGGCGGAGGCGGAAGCGAAAGCTAAGGCTGAGGCGGAAGCGAAAGTCAAGGCTGAGGCGGAAGCGAAAGTCAAGGCGGAGGCTGAAGCGAAAGCGAAGGCTGAGGCGGAACTGGAGGCGAAGACGAAGGTACTTTCACCGCTGGTGTTGCTTCTGACGTTGGTTTTGTCATACTGCTGTCACTTGCAGTTGCTGCCTTGCTGTGTCGTATCCCGCTTGCTCGTGCAAGCCGAAAAAAGGCGCACAACCGGCAGAGTATCAGACGGCGTCCTTTGTGCGTGCTGTCTTAGCCCTGGCATTGTATCCTGTCCCTTCCCATTTTCGCTCCTGGACGTGTGTCGTGTGCGCGCTCCAGACTTTTTCGCATCCAGAAAAGCCATGGGAGATTCACTGGTTTTTGTGCCGCGCTTGCGCCTTTCAGTTCCCTGGTCGAAACAGGCTGGCATTTGCGCCACCACCCGTAAGCGCGGAAACCGTGGCTAGCTTCTCCCCATTGCATGTTGCTCATTGATGCTGCTGTATCCCTCCTTTCCCTCTCCTTTATTGACCATACCGGTGCTGTGCGCGTGTGTGTGCTAAATGCGACGTGGTTTTGCCTGCCGCTCGAAATGATTGCTCTTCGAACGGAAACCAGTGCGCCCCCCTACTCTACCACCCCCCAGAGGTCGCTGCGGTCAGTGACTGCGGTCGTAGGCCAACAAGACATGCTCACGCGTACCTGCGCCCATTCCCAACGCAGCCACCGCTTGCCCCTTTACCGTCGGCCCTGAACCGACCCCTGCACCCCGGACGACAACGTACTACATGCTCGTGGCGGACGTAACACCTGACGCCTTACCTCTTGTCGTGCGTTCGTCCGCCGTGGCCACAACCTGACGCCGTACCTCTTGCCATGCATTCGGTCGTCCGCGCAAGAAGCAAAGAATGTCGCTCGATCGGTCCGTCGTGTCCACAACCTGATGCTTACCTCTCGTCATGAATTCGTTCGTCCGCGCGAAGAGCAGAGAATGTCGCTCGATCGGTTCGTCGTGTCCACAACCTGACGCCTACGTCTCGTCATGCATTCGTTCGTCCGCGCGAAAAGCAGAGAATGTCGCTCGATCCGTCCGAGATGAGCGAGGACTACGATGAGTCCGGTGATCTGCCCCCTTCCAGGGCACCCGCCCGGGGGCAGCGCGGGTCCTTCATGCAGAAGCAGCCCTCGCAGTCCGTGAGAGACCTTCTGGGCAAGGTCGGCGCGCCGGACATGAGGCAAGCAGATCGATTGATTGCGTGCGGTGATGCATAATAAAAAAGTTCGTGAATGGTAGAACGGGTATCGGTAGGTGACGCACGAGAGAACAGATGAGGAGAAAGAATCCCGTCTGTCTTGTTGGTCGGTGTACACACATGTGTGTCTGTATCTCTCCTTCTCTCTCTCTCTCTGGTGTGCTTTCCATGGTGGCCGGTCGCCTCTCTTCCGATGCATGACGTGTTGTCAGTTTTGTTGCATGGGTTGTGCCTCACAATAAGTTGGCACGTGACACTCGGAACACCCCATCTTGGTTGTTCTGTATTCAAGTATGAGATGAGCATGCGCCACGGATCCCTGTAGACGTTGTACGTAGACCCGGCGCGCGAGAGAGCCTTCTCTCTGCCTGTTTCACTTACTATCGACCTCATTTCTTTTTTTTTTGTTCGGCCGCTCGCGCGCTCGCGGGTGCGTGCCCCCCCCACCCTCAAATCATTTCCTTCGTTGCGGCTTCATCCAGCGTATCGCCCAGACAAGACAAGAAGATGACCAACTACAACGACATAACCGCAATTGGGGGGCACTCAGAAGACAAGCAGCAGTCGTTCGAAAGCAGGTTCAAGGAGGCAATGGAAGGCGGCGTCACGGAGGTGAGTGCAGCTCATGTGCTTGAATGGTCGCGCGCACCCGGTGCAGGCGTGTTTTTTTTTATTTTTTGGTGCTCGTTCTTGCTGATGTCACTGTTCTTGCTGATGTCACTGGTTGTTTTGTGTGACTGGCTTGTGGACGACGACAGGGAACCGATGAGTGATCAGCTAGTTTTGTGCAAAGACGGCAGGCAGCACGACCGACTTGTTGGAAAGTAACTTGTTGAATGAGAATAAAAAAAGAGTAACCTGTTTCCCCCTTCACCTGTCCTGGGCCTGCTGCCGTTTATGGACTCCGATCCCATCGTTTTCTTGTTCCTCTTTGTTCTCTTCATTTGTTTATGTAATCTGATGCCTTCTTTTTTTTTTTTTCGATGGTATGATAACACTTCTTTGTTTTGTTTTTTGTGATTTTCCATCATTTTCATGTTTCTTCTCTCGTTCGCCTTGCATTCCCGATCGGCAGGGCCACCTGATGAAACAAGTCCTCTCTACCATGTGGAAATCCCGCTACTTCCGACTCGAGGACGACATCCTGACCTTCTACGACACCAAGTCTCTCGTCGGTACACGCAAAAACAAGGTAAGAAACTTGAGGGCGTGGTGCACACGTGGTAGTGGTGTTGAAGCAGGACTGGAGGCGGGAGACTTACAGGCGTGAGTGTGTGAGAAGTTGGGGTGTGATGTTTGGCTGATGTTGGATTGAAAACGATGATGTGCAAAGCGTGTTATTGCAGATCACGTTGGGCTGAGATCAAGGACCAAGTGACAAGGTGGGAGGCGCACTATTGTAGCACGGTGGTATTTGAACGGCTGTGAACTCATGTTAAGACTTTCTCACGTAAGTGAGAGCGTGTGCGAATCTTGGTTGGTTGTGTATTCGTACGGCTCCTTGCGTCGGCCGCAACAACAGAAAGAGAGACAGATAGAGAGAGGGGGGGGGGGGGGAAGGTCTCTTCTTGCGAATAGCTGGAAGTTGGCTTTTACGTTGACGCTGTTTCTAGTCCCTCTTGCAGAAAGGACCGCCTCCCGCCCTCTCTCTCGCGCGTACTACCGATTTCGTTAACGGCTAATGTACGGCTACAAATATATCAACACTACACAAGCACTCGTTTAGTGTGTCACACACACACGCGGTCCACCTCCATCCTCTTCCTCTTTCTCTCGTACTTCTTTCCCGCTAGAACCCCCACTGACGGCGGCATGGCCGCGTCCCTGAAGCTCCGGTGGTTCAAAAATGACGATATACATGTCAAGTGCGTACATGTGTATTCCAAGCGCTACATTGTAAGCCGTGCGCCGTGCTTTCCTTGCTACACTTTGGCAGCGCATGGAGCTCCAGCCCGATTCCACCGCGTCTTACACGAACGTGCCCAACTGCTTCTCCGTGCGCACGGGCGAGGTGAGCGGGCGAGAGGGTACAGACCACGGCAACCAAGTGTTTCGTGATGTTTTGGTTTCGATGGAGGGTTGCTGTCGCCGTCGCTGTAGTTATTGTTGTAATTTTTTTTTACTTGGAAAAACGTTTAGACCTCTCTCCAGTGGCTTCCTGTTTTACCGCTATTTTTCAAAGACGAAACAAGATGTCGTGGTTGTACGCTAGCCCCCCCCCCCCGTAGCTTCTTCTTCTGTGTAAGGGTCTCATGCGTATCAGACAAGCCACGTAAGAATGTTGCCACGAATTGTACATGAATGCACATAGATGCACATCATGTTGACGATGTTGCTGTCATACGGAGACTCGGCAGGCGCAGGAAAAACTTCGAAGTTTTTTTACTAATTTATCGACGGTTGTTTTTACTAATTTATCAACAAGCACGATGCTGTCCACGGTGTCTATCGCTCGTGTCTTGTCCGCCTTGTTTCTTGTTTCATCCGTTGTTTTTGGGCGTTGGGTGCCGCCACAGGAGAACTGGATCCTCCTTGCCAAGGACGAGGACAGCATGGAGAAGTGGATCACCGCCATCAACGCCGTCATCCACGGACTGTTCATCAAGCGGCACAACGTCCCTGAGGATAACTACGACAGCCAGGGGTGAGAGGAGAGAGAGGAGGAGGAGGAGGAAAAGAAGGAGGAGGGAATGCGGGCGGGGGCTAACGATAGCCGCATCGGTGTCAGTCCCCCGTATGTACAGAACGCATTTCCGACGACCATAGCCTGACAGGTTGACCGCCCCTCCCCCCCTCGTCCGTAAAGAGCAGTTTCAAGAGTGTCCTCGGTTCAGAGTACAGAAGGCCCGTATTTTTGCTGGTGTAGATAGCGTAAGTGTCGCGTATTGCATGGACGAAAACCGGCGGATGGGAGGGACTGTTTTTTGGATGGACAGAGGGACAACTCTGCCTCTCCTCGGCCTCCTTGGTGCTGTCACGCAACGACACGCCACGAGAAGAAACATGCCGACGACTCCAGCAGGGAGCACGTGGTTGGAAGGGGTGGGGGTGGGGTAAAGCTATCTCCCCCCCCCCCCCCC